CTGCACCTGGTGGTAAGTCGGGCCCCCAGCACCCCCCTGCCAAGGCTGGACCAGCCCCAAGCACCTCCTAGACAGGGAGCAGGGTCCTGGCAGGACACGGGCCTGTCCCAGCCCTGCATTGGGGTACCGAGTCTGGGAGCTCGTGAGCAGGGACGGGGTAGAGCCATGGATGTGTGGAGGCACCACCCCAAGTCCACCAAGACCTGGAGAAGGAACCCGAATGGTGGAGAGGAGACATCAACTGGACTGGGCACACCAGCACGCCCATGCAGTGGGGAAAGTGAGGCACAGAGGAGATGGGGGCTTGCCAGCAACCTCATGCAGACCTGGGGGTAGGACCCAGGCACACAGAGATGTGGGCTTGCAGATGGCTAGATGCCAACCCCCTATACCACCTCCCTCGGCTTTTCCCCCCCACTCCCACCCACTCATGGAAGTGGTTTGAGGGAGGGGGCAAAGTGGGACAGGGGAGTGTTAACCTCCCTCAGGGCTGGGGGCCATGTCCAGCTGAGGTGCGGGGCCAGCTGGCACTGCCCCGTGCAAAGACATCCCAGCCACCTCCCACAGTGGGCCGCCCCACCTCGGCCCTGGGGGCATGTGGGGAGCCCAGGGGCAGTGGGGGCTCTTGTAGGGGTGCTGCTGGCATCTGCTGCTCCTGTTCCCTGTAGGCTTCCAACTGCAGGTGCGCACGGCACCCTCTTACCAGGCTGTGCTGGGTGCTGAGGCCCGACTGCAATGCCTCTTCGATGTCGGGGAGCCGGTGGCCCTGAGCGCCCTGCGTGTGACCTGGTACCTCTGGGATGAGAGGATTGCACACTATGCAGAAGGCAAGGGCCACGCTCAGCCTGGAGCCAGCCTGGAAGAGACAGCGCTGGAGACTGGAAACGCCACCCTGGTGCTGGCCAGGGTGACACTGGCCAATGAGGGGCTGTACAAGTGTGTCGTGGGCTATGGGGTGCAGCAGCAGGAAGCCCAGACCAACCTCCATGTGCTCGGTGAGGACCAGCGTGGGGCTCCCATATCCCTGGGGTGGCCCTGACTGCTCTGGGTGAAGGGAAACTGGAGGAAGCTGGTGCTGGGGTGCACCGGGCCAGGAAGCGCAGGGCTGAAGGGGACATTGGGCCTGTGCCCTATGCCACAGCCAGCCCTGGACCCCCAGACCGCCCAGGTCCTGGTACAGGAACTAGGGGGCACAACACGAGAGCAGGGTGGGGGCATCGTGCCAAGTGCCAGGGAGGCTGGGGGCTCCCAACATGACCCAGGCCTGTCACGCAGACCCCAGAGGCAGCACAGGGTTTTCTCTCTCTTCCAGCTGCTCCCAGCATCTCTGTCCCCCAGCGCATTGCTGTGGCTGGGACCATCGTCTCCCTCCCATGTCACGTGGGGGGTTTCTACCCCAAGGATGTGGATGTCGCATGGCTGCGAGATGGGCGGGTCCTGAACAACACCACCCCTTCTGTCCCGCAAAGAAACCCCGATGGGACCTTCAGCTTCACCCTGACCTACACTTTCACTTCTGCCAGGAGCGATGCTGGCAGCATCTTCTCCTGCCACGTCCAGCACCTGGCTCTGGAGCAGCCCCTGCGAGAGGAGTTCCCCTTGGAAGTTGCAGGTCAGGATACAGATGGGGCCTTACAGTCAGCCCTGGGGGCAAACGTGGGCAGATCTAGGATTTGGGAATGGGAGGGGAGGGGTGGCGGGGTGCAGATGGCGTAGCGCATTCTCATGACAGACCCAACACGGCTTCTTCTCCAGTTAAAGAGAAATGAGAAGCTTTACCAATACGCTGGAGGGAGTGCTATACTGATCCCTTTAAGAACAAAGCAAAAAAATATATATATAAAACTATTGGAATGTGCCCTCATTTGCTACAGTTTTTATCTATTTTTAAATAGCATAATAAACTAGGCCAAAAAATAGGCAAGGTTATTGTATTATGAGTGCTGTCATAATTATAGATGTATTTATGTCTCCAATTCAGATTCATAAAGGAAAATCTAGCCTGCTGGAGTGCCTTGTCAGTGCCTCCAGTACTTCACTGGCAGTTATTTCTACCCCTGAATTACTGCACCTGAGATAAGGCTGTAGCTAGAGGTAAAAGCAGTCTGCAGGGCTGTAAGATAGAGCAGAGAAGTGGCCAAGAGTGCCTGGCAGGCTGCAGCGCTGCAGAAGAAAGGGGAGCTGGAATAGGGGCACATTGAGACCATTAACAAGGAGAGAGGGTTGTTAACATGTGTGGAGGGGAGAGAGATTAGCAGGAATCAGGGAGATGACAAGCAGCCATGATGGCAATGCACTGTCTCAGCGCTGCCTGCATGGAAATGCCATGGCCTGTGCGCTGCCTGCATGGAAATGGTGTGCCTCTCCCAGGCAGTTAAGCCTAAACCCTGGGGGAGGAGGGTTGAAAGCAGGGTGTGACTGCACTACTGTCCTCCCCCCACCTCCCATTCACCCCTGCTGAGCAGAGCCTGATGGGGCTGTGATTTTCCTTCCCCTTCAGTGCAAGAGGCAGGCACAGATCGCACTGGCACCATCATCGGAGTCTCCCTGGGGATCGCGGTGGCAGTGGCAGCTGCTGCAATGGCCATTTACTGCTGGAGTAAGCGGCGGGACGGTAACAGGGACAAGGCTGGGGGTTGTAGGGAGAGGAAAAAAGCAGAGGCCACAGGAACCTCTCTGCAGGGTGCGGTCCCCATCCCTTCACCCTTCTGCTCTGCAGCTCTTGGCCCCCCATGCCCTTCAACCCAACTGACCCAGCTGTTGCTCTGACTCCAGGCAGGAAAGCCCCCTACTCGGTCTCCGAGGTGCAGGGGCCAGCGCAGTACGTGCTGGGGCAGGAGGTGACACTGCGCTGCGTCATGGAGGGGACGTTTCCTGAGGACATGGCTGTGACATGGAAACTGCTGCACGGGGAGGTCGGGATGGGGGTCGGGGAGGATGGAGCTGGGGCTGGCCCAGAGCACCAGCCGCTGTTGCACCCTCTCCCTGAGCACTGGAAAACAACACGGGAGAGATCCAGGACCTGCCTCGTGGCCTCGCTGATCTTCACCCCCACAAAGCAGGACGACAGGGTGCGCATCAGGTGTGTCTTCCAGCACGAGGCCAGACAGATCCGGGAGCAGCGCGAGTCCCAGGAGATACGGGTGTGTGGTGAGTGGCCAGGCCTGCAGAGAGGCCCAGGACTGGAGCAGCCTCCATGGCCTGAGCCTTACCTTCACGGAGGCTTGGCAGGGTGGGTGGATGCACCTGCCGGGCGCGGGCACGGGCACAGGGGCCCTTGGGCCATTGCCAGGGGTGGGTTCAGTGTGGGCAGCAGCTGCTCTGCCCTGATTTCTGTCCTGGGGGAGCTGAGAAGGATCCCATGCAACAGCCTGGGTGTCCTGCCCCACGGTCCCCTCAGCTCCTCTGCATGTGGCAAGGAGACTTTGTGGAGTTGGCCCTCAAGGCCCAGGAGTTTGTGCCCTGCCCTCCATGCTCATGGCTACTCCAGGAGCGTGTCCAGTCTCCTTGGGATCCTGCTTAGGCGGCTCTGAGCACACAGAGCATCACCAGGGAAGCCCGAGGGGCTGGGTGCAGGGCGCGTGGCACTCCCTAGTGTCCCTCGTGGCCCAGCTGATGTGGGAAGGGCCAGGTGGGGGGATGGCTGTCGAGGTAGAGATCTCCCCTCTCCTTTTACCGGGCCACGGCTCCAGTGCCCAGAGGGGTCTGCGGGGCTAGAGAGAACCTCACAGGGACCCCGCATGGAACCACAGCATGGCAGGGATTTTCCCGTGCCCAGAGCACATCCCAGCCCGGGCTCTCACTACCACTCCTGCTGCGTCCCCAGCCCGGCCAAGGCTGTCCAAGATCCGGGTGCTGCCGGACTGGGACCCCCCAGAGGAGGTGCCATTCAGTGTCCAGATCCAGAACTTCTACCCCCGTGACATCCACCGCGTGGAGTGGAGCTGCGACGGGAAAGTCTGGGAGAGGTCTGCACTGAGTGAGGTCGAGGACAACGTGGACGGTACCTTCACAGCGACGAGCCTCTGGAGAGTGCCCAGCCGGTGCCTGACGCAGCCGGAGCCCCGAGTCCGAGTGTCCGTACAGCACAGTCCTGCGGACACCCCTGTTGAGGGAGAGCTCAGCCTGAAGGATGCCGGTGAGTGATGGCTCCCCTGGGCTCGGGAGCGGGGATCGTAACCTCCCGGACCCAGCCAGGCCACTGACGGGGACAAGCTGTGGGGTCCTCTGGTCCCCATCCCATTGCCCAGCTGGAGATGCTGGTGGGTCAGGGTGCAAGGGGGGAGATTTCAGGGGTCCCAGCCCCACTGCGGGGGCTCAGTCTCTCTCTCGCATCTCTCTCCAGCTCCACTGACAAAACCTCTCACTGTCTCTGGGTGTTTCCTTCCCCAGGTCTCCTGCGGCCCCCAGAGCTGTCACAAATCTCCGTGTTGCATTCATGGTGGACCTTTGGTGGGCGTAAAGTCACCATGAGCTGCCTCATCACGGGTTATTTCCCGGGGGAGCTGAGCTTGACCTGGCTCAGGAGGGGTGTTAGAGGTGCTGGCGCCGTGGCCCTGCAGGACTCATCTGAATACAGCATCGACCCTGGTGTAGCCGTTCTAGCACGGGACGGGAAGAGGTTCCAGCGGGAGACGAGACTCCACTTCACGCCCTCCCTACTCGGTGACATGGGTGCAGAGTACATCTGCCAGGTGGGACATGTTGCCCTGGAGACCCCCATCGAGAGTCGTTGCACGTGCAGTCTGACAGGTCAGTCCCACGGCGTTCAGCGGGTTGCAGCCCAGTGTGAACAGCGATGCCAGCGCTGCGGTTCCCGTGAGCTCAGCGTCCAACGCCGCGCTGGGAGCAGTCCCTGACAAGAGCCGTCCCCTCCCCACTCGCTCCTCAGCTCTCACGGGCTGGGGCTGCATCCCAGAGAGCCGCCGGGCTCCGGAGTCAGCGCGGAGGGCAGCACAGCCAGCCCCGCTGCCGGAGCCCATTTCAGGACCGTGGGAGCCCTTGCCCCAGCCCGAGGTTCGTCCCTGAGCAGGACCCACGAGCTGGAGCTGGCCCAGGTGCTGCAGGTTGTGGCCTGGGGGTCTTGGGGTGTGAGCAGCCTGCTCCAGTCCCCAGCACTGCCCTCTGACCCCTCTCTGCCCCATGAGGGTCTCCTCACTGCCCTTCTCTGCCCATAGCATCCCCCAACGTCCCCTGACACTCACAGGCCAGCCCCTCACCACGGCTCCTCAAGCTGAGAAGCTGTGACCTTCTCCCCCTTCCCTGAGCACCGCTCCCCATCCGCCAGGGCAGGGAACGTGACCCCAGGGGGCTGAGGGTGATCAGATCAGGAGGGACAGGACATGCCCATGCTGTTCCCTTGCAGGCGGCTACCAAGCACAGAATCCAGCCCAGAGCTCCCCCCAGCTCCCCGCAGAAGATGAGACTCCTCTTCCGCATCATGGGGCAAATGACATCCATGTGGAGGGTACACCTCTCCCTAAAGACCCTCCTAGCAGCACAGAACAAGGATCTGCAATGACAGGTGAGCCTGAGCTGTGCAGTTAAGGACCGTGCCTCTCACCGAGTGAGCAATTTTCCCCATTAGTCCACAACCAGTGCCGGACATGGCACAACCCAGAGCAGCAATAATTCACCCCACCAGCCCGTGGGCATGTCCACAGAACAGCTTCACAGAGGGGCCTCAGGACACAACATGGGCCGCACCAGGCCTCGGTCCCTAGATCTGTCTCCTGGGCCAGCCAAAATGTTCCCCCAGGATCCATGCCACAGCGCTGGGGCCGAGGGAGATGTCCTAGTACAGAGCATGAAAGGAAACACAGCTCCAATCTAGAACAGGGACAGGTGGGACATTTTGGAGGGAGGGGCTGACTGCCATCAATTAATACAGCCCAGCCTTCTTGATGTCACATGCAGCAGACCACTGAAAGCCTGGGATATGACAGCATGGATCACACTTCCCATCGGGGCTGAGGAAGAAGAGGAAGAAGATGCAGTTCACAAGATGACGGCAAGCAATGAATGACCATTTTTCCCCTTGATAAAGTCTTTTGTCCCAAGGCAGCCATGAAATACATCCCCCCCACACCCTCACACTCTGATCACTTCTCTAAGGACAGAGCCACAGCTCTAAGTATGGAGGAGAACAAATTTATTCTTTGCTCTTTCTGGGTACTCTATTTGGCTTCTGTACCAGGCAGCTGCAGTGTATATCTCGTCCTGTACGTAAGTGGAATAAAACCCATCTTACTGATGCCTAAAACCTATCTAGTAGCATGATAGGAAGGTGCAGCCCATGATCTGATCCTTTTGCTCCTAGTTTTGTCCTTGTCTTTGAGTGTCACAAGGGCCCAGACGGTCCCAGCAGGAGGGGAAAAGATGCACCGGTGAGACATGGAGACCACTCACAGGCTTGGCCCTTCTACCTGGCTCTGAGCCTGCCCAAAGGGCCCCATTGCAACAAGGGCACCTGAGATCATCTGCAGGTGGAAACCCCCTGGCAGGGTCTAGGTAATTAACAGCACGCAGCAGGTCTCTTAGATGAGGTCAATTGCTTTGCTTGTAATGCATTATCTTTAACTCGCCCAGGTTTTGGAGCATCAGTCAATACCTGCAGCATTCAAGAGCGAGTTTGCACAGCAAAGACTGCTGAAGTGATGCTCTCCAGAGGGAATGGGTCTGTGTTACCGGGTGGGGTGTCAGCCACTGTGAGAACAGGCCGAGGGTGTTATACTGGGGAGAGAGCACAGAGCCGGGAGAGAGGAAGGGACCTGTAGAGGTCATGTCTCACGTGGCCCTGGGCTGCGGCAGGATCAGCCCTGTGCAAACCAGCCCAGGCACGTCTATCATCTAAGCTCCAAGTAACACAGCACTGTCACCATACCCCATCATGGGAGACCAACACCTGTGTCTTGCTGTTGTTTTTAGCTTGAGAAATCAGCCCCTAACCCTAACCCTACCCCAGCCCCTGCTGCCTCCGCCAGAGAAAGCAAACCCACCCCAGGACATCCCCAGTGACCTCAGAGCAAACTTCTCTTCTGTCACCCCCAGAAGCAATCTTTTGTCCCCTCAAACCCCTGGAAGCGCTAGACCCCC